GTTCTGATTTCATTTGCGGTCAGTTTCCCGACATCATTTGTACCGGAATGGAGTACAATCTAATCATAATCATTTCTTTCCTGCATGTGGTTGATGTACTGGCTTATTTCCCTCGTTCCCCTCGCGATAGTTTGTTTGTTTACATAACGGTCTGGGGCGAACTTGCGTTGCTGTATTCCTCTTATCATCGAATCTCCTAACAACAGCACCGGTCCCTCTGATAATCGCTCATTTGGGTTGTACACATGATTCTGATTTGAGGAGCATGTAGAAGCAAGTTGATCGTTGGGCTGGGAGATTGGTGGTTGCGTTCTTGTAGCAGTGGGACTTGAAGTAGTAGTAAATGATGGATTAGGTTGAGTGTTTGTTGGAATAGATTCAACGATCGAGCGATTTTCCTCGACTAGAGTTTCATACCTGTTTGACGTAGCTACTGTGTACGTGTACTCATTTGAGTCCGCTATTACCGTTGAAAGTTGTAATGCAGGGTCTTGATGGCTTTGTTTCTTGTAACTGTGAGATGAGTGACTGTTCAGATATACACACTTGATTTGTTGTTGTCATTGAGTTGTTGTAAAATGTGTTTGATCGAGTCCTCAGTAGATGATGCTTTAGTTTTCAGTGTTTTTAGATCCGAAGACAGTTTGGAGGATAGATTTGCAATTGGCTTTGCTAACTTTTACACCTCTTCGCCGATTTCGTCCTTAACCGCTTGAGTATGATTTTCGCAGGATTGTTTTACTTCTTTTGCTTGGTTTTTAGACTTTTGTTCTAAATCTTTTAACTCTATCGTGCATTCACTTATTTCTATGGAGTTAGAGGAAATATGACTTTTAATCTTCTTGTTAAAGTCGCGTTGTTCTTTGATGAAGGCCTCGAACTTTTCATAACGCTCATTGTGATCACTTGTTGGTTTCAAATTCAACACTGGTTCAGTAATCTCAGCACTTCCACTGTTAGGCGTTACTTCGATCAGAGTATCTTGACTTTAGTTCCTTTCTCAGGCATGTTAAGGCATGGGTCACCTCCTAATTTGCATAATTTGGCAAAGTGGTATTTGAAAAGGATTGGTTTGATCAATCGTCATGAAATTTGGCAAACAGTTTTAGCTTGGTGGCCTTAACAATATGTGACGATATTCATTGTTGAAATATTAGTCACGTGACCTGCAAATGATCGCTAACGTTTAAAGATTTCAAATTGAAACGGGGGAAGGGAAATGAAAGAGCAGCAAATATTCTTAGGCAAAAGTGTTTTTCCCATGGCCTGGGTATTATGAAATAGCCCTGCATGTATGCCTAAGTGGAGCAAGGATTACGAAATAAGGAAAAACAGGTCACGTGACTTATAACATACTTTAATAACTTTTAATAAAAATGCTTTAATCCACCTTGCTAGGCTAATTGACAATTCAGACAGTTTAATGACAAGTTTTTTTCTAGGCTGAAGTTTAACAACCTTGCCCAGTTTAAGAAAACAGATTTTGTGACGTCATGGTCTAAGGAATGTCACGTGATGCTTAGGATGAATTTTCCAAAACTATTTTATTGAGATATGTCTTATCCTATCTTTGCGGAACCCTTTACTTGGATTCTTCTGTGTCGTTAAAGAGGATCTTTCCATTCTCTATGAGGGGTCTTTTTAGCCTTTCAACCCATGCCTTAACTTGCCTGAGTTTTCGACAATATTCCGAAGCTTTTTTACATACTGATCCTTTTGTGAGCCTTGCACTTGTAAAGTTTTTGAGGAGGAATAGAAGTTAACGGTTACCGATTCAAACTTTAACACCTCTGTGTTACCCTTGGAGTTTACGCTCACTAAATTATTCTCATCTCCTCCTTCCAGTTCAGCGATCCAGAAGTCTCGTAAGGTTTTTAAGTCACTGTTCCATTTAAATGGATTCTTTCAAGGGTTAAAAACCAAATGTGGATTGATTTCAGTCGGAGCAATATCTGTCGTTGCCGCCGCCATGATGGTTAGTCATATCTTGACCCACTCCGCCTGCCAGTGTGGCGTCATATAGTAACGGGCAAGAGCCTCGGGTCGCTTTTGCAAATTAGCAAGGGATACCACGGTTATTAGGACGAGCGAGGTCGAGGAAAAGCTAAGAAGCTAGCAAATATCGCTAATTTGCTCGTAAGTGTGTGAGCTTTAGGAGGTTCCATTCACAAATCACACATATTATATTTCATTTATTCTTTTGCTAATTAAACCGACCTAACTTCATATCAATCCTTTCGAGTGTGGGCCTCTGTTGATTTCCTAATTCACCACCCTATTCAGTAAAGCTAGTTTGATGGGTTATCTACATCGATGGGCCCGTTGAACCGGAAATAATGCGAAATAGCTTTAAAATACGCGCTTAAGCTAATTTTCCTCAAATGTATATTTGAATTAATGATAAATACAGCTCAACCAGCTTCAAAAAGCGTCTATGCAGAAAAAAATGGTTTTGATATAACCAAATTATTTTTCAAAACATGTATGTGTGGCAGTGTGG